GGGGGGGGGGAGGGGGAGGGGGGTTTGTTAAGCACATGGCAGATGAGGTGATCCTGATTCCTGATACCAAATTTAAACTACTCAATATTTGTTACCCCAAGAATGGCTACTTGTAAAAGATATCTCGGCAACTAGAGAATGATAACTTAACTCACAATTTGGAATCCAATCTCATCTACTATGACATACAAAACCACATATTAGCTAGAAAGAAGGAAAGTTTCCTGTAACTACGATTAAACAAAATCATTATTGCAGGCAAACAACAAATATGAATGCAACTGCAACAAAATATTCGAAACCAAAAGAGATAAACCCAACAACGGAAACATTACAAGACACACAGTTCGAACCCACCAAAATCCCTCTCCCTACACAAAAATGACACACCTAGAAAAACCCTAACAGGCGACTCAACAATCAGCAGCCAGACAATTTTCCGAATTCAAAAGACAAAAGGCCCAAACTTTTGATGCGAATCGCAAATCATAAGTACTCAGCAAGTCACAATTCGAGAAGCAAATGCGAAAAGAGAAAATAAAATCCATAGGTGAGGTCAGCATGAAGCACAACACAAATCGCAAGAATAAGCGTAACCCACAAAAATTGGAGCACAAACAAAGAATTGGCACAGCATAAGATGCGAATTCCCAAAAAATTGAATAGTCAAAGAAGAAGGAAGAACAAGGAATCGAAATTAGAACCTTCTTCTTCCAACCAGGTGGAGCAGGAAGTTCCAACGACAGAGGTTCCTCCCCTGCAGCCGCACCTGCACCTGCACCTGCAGCAGCAGCCTCCTTCTCCACTGAGCTCGCCATTTTTACCTAACAATTCCCCAAGGCAAACAAAAATAAGGAGGAAGAAGAAGGAAATCACAAAAACCACTATACCAGAAATTTAAAAATTAAATTAAATTTCTAATTATTATTATTATTATTATTATTTATAAATAATAATGGAAGGAAATTAAGAAAGAGGAGAGAAATACTTGGACTTAGTTTTGGGGTGGAAATGGGTCTTTTTCCTTTTGAGAGGAGAGAGGTGGGGAAAAGAAGAAGAGAGAAGGAATTATATTTATTAAATTAAACAAATTGAGGAATCGCAGACGCACAAAAATATGCTTCCAACCTTTTGACTCCATTTTTGTGTTGGGTACTTCCAACCCTCACAGACATCCTTTCCTTTCGCCACCTGTCCCACCAATCCACCTTTTCAGATTTCTTCTTTTTTATTTCTGCTCTCAATTTAACTTTCAACAACATTCACCTCTTTGCTTTCTCACCAATCTAATTATTCTAGATTTTACTCTATTAAATTACAATTATTAAAACTACCTTACTACTAAAATACTCTATTTATAATAAAATAACGTAAAAGTGAGTGATTAATAATTAGAGAATATCAACTGTTTCGAAACAATCTTAATTATAAGAGTAGTTTTTGAAAAAAACTATAAAAAATAAAATAATTTTATATATAATCTTAGAAATAAAATTATCCAAAAAAATATAGATACCAAATGATCTAAAATATTGAATTTACTAGAAAAATTATTTAAGTGTTAGTGAAATATTTTTAAAAGTATAAAAAAATATAATAATTTCATATATTCCCTTAAAATAACTACAAGTTAAGAATTCTATATGTATGTTAAAAACAATAATAAATATATTACTTTCTAATTGTTCACTCTCTTAATATATTACATTTAATTGTATTAGTTGAAGAATTTATAAAAATAAAAATAAAAATAAGAAAAATTAAGAAAAAAAATCATTTTAGAACAAAAGGAGTAACTACATAAAGTGACTTATTATTTTATAAAATTCAATTTGATATTTTTGTATTTACTTGATAAACTCCAAATTAATTGATTAAGAAAAGTCTTTCAACCTATCACCTAGCTTAAAGTTGATGTTATGTTCTAGCATAACATAGACTAGATTTCTATTTAGATAAAGTCTTTGTTCAATTATCTTGCATGAAGTTGATGTCACTATGCTCTTATTGACTTCTTAATGACTATCTTAACATGATGAAAAAAAGATTGCCCAGTCGATCATATATTAATCAATTTGCTCACATTTAGGCCAACTTAGTCACATTAAAACTAACTAATTCACCATGTACAAACTCTACGTGTAGAATAACAAGTTTCTTTCTTTCACCTCTCTTTTTTCTCATGACTATAAAAAGGGTTTTACATCTCATGTATGTACAATTGCACACACTCTTTGAATCATATATTGTTACTTTGCTTAACCGCTTTATGGTATAGGCATTTGAGTGTTACTGGTGGCCACCACTGTTGACGTATGATGATTAAGTATTGTTTTACTGAAATTGAGTTCATCGATACATTTTACACAAAATACTAATAGCTATTATTAAAACAAGTAAATTATTAAAACATGAAAAATGACACACGTACAACAATTTATATAATTCTTTTTTGTGTTTATTTTTTTTATCACACAATTTATTATATTTCAAAATTCTTTCCTTTTCTTTTTTAGCTGTACAATTTATTGTCTAAGTATCATTTTACTTAAAATATTAAACTACTTTACAATTAGAAGTGATAATGAAATGGATCGCTTAAAAATTAATCTGAGATTTAATTTCATAATTAATTCATTAATTAAATGAAATAAATTTGAATTATATATATATATATATATATATATATAATTTACTCTCATTTGACTCATATATTGATTCTCTTTGTAAATAATCATATATTTTATATTACTATTATAAATATAATTTATGAATTAAATTTGAGACTTAATTCCATAATTAATTAATTAAATTCAATACATGGATTAAATGGATTATACTATATAGAGTTTTTTTTTTTTAATTATTCTTCAGGAAGCTAAAAGTAATAAAATAAACACATTACATTTTCTCCATCTGCCACACAATTCCCTTATTTAAGGGAGTGCTGAAAGCTAAGGTTCCAATCTTGAGCCATGTAGGAACGTATTAAGTCCACCAAAGGAGCAGGCGGATGAGTAATAACTATATACCCCCTTTTGTGATTAAATCCAAAGCAGATTTGGAATCCGATTCACAAACTAAATTCCTTATTCCCCTTGACCAAGCACTACAAGAAAGTATTTAATTATATAAAACACTTTAAAATGTAATTAATATATGAATGTACATTTTATAATTGCAGGAAATACTATTCCAAGTGATCATTCCCGTGAGCATTATCTAAATGATTTTATTGGAGGAAGTGCATCTAATAAAGTAGAATTATGTAGTATTCCATTGTCGGATATTACTAATGGTAAAATTAAATTTTGTAAAAGATGTCTCATTCTATTTATATGTTTGAAAATTAATGATTATTCATATTTTGTTATCATTATTACTTGGTGCCAACAGTCAAAATGTTTTCCCCTCTTTTGCTAGAAATAAACTATTATTTGGTAAAGTTGCACCTATGCAACGTCGATGTAATATGTCTCAATCTTCT